TGAACTCTGGGCCTGAGCACTGTCCCCCAGCTCTTCAGCTCAAGACTAGTGCTCTACCACTTGAGCCATAGCACCACTTCTGGCCTTTTCTGCTTATGTGGTGCTGAGGAATGGAACCCAGGGCCTCATGCATGCAAGGCAAGCACTCTACCACTGAGCCACCTTCCCAGCCCCCATTCCAGACACTTAAAGAAACACAAAAAGAGGGATCGAGATTCAGGCCAATAAGTCCCTATTTTGAAAATAACCAATGTAAAAGGCACTGGTGGAGTGACTCAGGTGTTAAAACAACTGCCTAGTAAGCAAGAGGCCCTAAGTTCAAACCCCAGTCCCACCCTTAATGCCCCCCCCAAAGAAGGTTTTTAGGATTAGGGAATGTTTACATAGGTTCTACCACTTGAGAATCTATCATCTGAAAATCCAAGTGCTCTGAAATCTAAAATTTTCTGAGCCTCACAGCAGTGCTCAGAAACTTTTTAGATTTCAGCATCTGAGTTTTCTAATCAGGGTTGCTTAGATTATATCATCAGATGCCCAGTAAGTGCCCTAGTTTCCAACTTGGCTGCAGATATGCCTACATTTTACAGTTTGCTTTTAGAATGAGATCTAAAACAAAGCCCATAATTGTAATTGGTTGGATGCCCATCCCTTTGATTTTTCCTTGCAAATTTTGTTGGCTGCAGAAACCGGGTTCTTTGTCCTGTGCTATTTCCCCTATGGCTGGATTTTGTAGATTGCACCTTTGTGGTGTGAAAGAATGTGTTCTGTTGCTCGTGTTTCCTGTGCAGTCTTTGTAGGTGTCCTGTGCACCATTCAGGAGACATGTCATGTCTGCTTATCTTTTTTATGTGACATGAGAATCCATTGGAGACCCTTGAATAAATCCATTCATTTTTCAGTGGTTCCAAAATGATGGTGGTCCTGTCTACTAGCTAGTTCATTTCTCAGTGGAAATTTTTCTTTGTCTGCCATTTGCTTAGCCTCTGTGCAGGGCAAGGCAGGATCAGCACTTGACTCGTGATTTTTCTAGTCTCCTTGGAAGAGAGCAGCCTCCAGCTCAGCAAGGATTGGTCCATCAGCCTGCTTCCTGACCCTTCTCTCTGGCCCTGGGTATCTGGGGGCTTCCTTGACTGCTGGTGTAGCCAGATTTGGTATCATGGGTCAGTGTCTATGCATATGTGAGCGTGCCTGCCTGGTCAGTCTTTTCCTTTGACTCAGTGCTGGCGGGCATTGGGTAGCTGGCTACTGGAGAGGAATGAGAGGCTGGCTGGGGCCTCATCTTGTACCAGGGCCAATAGCTATGACACAGGCCCCTGGGGATTCCTGACTCTAGGTCCCTAGGCCCTGGAGCCTCATTAGGTGCTTTTTGAACCACAGATGACTCAGTAACAAAGCTTGAGTTTGACTAATGATGTTTCCTAGGTCCCAGCATGCATCCCACACTGTGTGAGAGCCTCTTCTCCCTCCCTCCTTCTCTCCCTCCCCCATGCAGTCCAGAGCACTCCACAGGATGGAGGGGGGCAGGGAGGCAGCTGCAGGGGAGGACAGTGGCTGGAACCTGGTCGCAGCTTAGGACTCCTTGTTACTGTGCTCTTGAGCAGCTATGGGCTTCTCTGGACCTCAGCCTCCATCTGTGCCTGTGGGTGACCCATTTTGGATCCAAGGCTTCACCTTAAAATCAAAGTGGAGAGACGGGAGAAGTCAGGCAGAGGACAACCTAGGGGTTTTTGTTTGTTTGTTTTCTTTTTTTAAGACAGAGTGCAGGGCGCTGGTGGTTTATGCCTGTAATCCTAGCTACTCAGGAGGCTGAGATCTGAGGATCGCAGTTCAAGACTAGCCGGGCAAGAAAGTCTGTGAGAGACTCTTATCTCCAATAAACCACCAGTGCCACTGGAAGTGGTACTTTGACTCAAATGGTAGTGTGCTCCCCTTGAGCTGAAGAGCTGAGGGACAGCATCCAGGCCTGGAGTTCAAGCCCCATGACCGACAAACAACAACAACAACAAATCCACAGAGTAGCCAGGCTGTGGTGGCTCACACCTGCAATTCTAGCTGCTCAGGAATTTGAGGTCTCAGAATTGCAGTTTGAGATTAACCTAGGCAGAAAAGTCCGTGAGACTCTTCTCTCTAATTAACCAACCAGCAGAAAGCCAGAAGTGGAGCTGTGGGCTGTGGCTTAAGCACATGAGCTTTGAGCAAAAAAGCTAAGAAACACCAAGCACCAAGGCCCGGAATTTAAACCACAGTAATGGAGGCTGGGAATGTGTCTTTGTGGTAGAGTGCTTGCCTAGCAGGCATGAAGCTGTGGGTTCGATTCCTCAGTACCACATATACAGAAAATATAAAGCCGAAAATGGTGCTGTGGCTCAAGCGGTAGAGTGGTAGCCTTGAGCAAAAGAAGCTCAGAGACAGTGCCCAGGCTCTGAGTTCAAGCCCCAGGACTGGCAAAACAAAACAAAAAACCACAGTAACAGTGCATGCATGCGCATGTGCACAAGCACACACATGCAGGCGAAAGGGCAGGTGGGGAGCAGGGGAGAGGGGGAGCTATGGTGGCTCCACATCCCAAGCCTGGCTGTGACGCTCAGGGAGGCTGTGTGCCTTCCTCAGCCCTGCCCGGGGCAGCCTGCCAGTCACTTCCAGAGCATTGCCTGCACAGCTGGTCTAAGACCTAGGACACCAAAAACAGCCAGCTTATGCCGGGCCCCTGGCAGGGCTCCACTAATGGCCATAGCACCTCTCCCCAGAGTTGGCATTTTTATTTTCTTGGTGTCAAATGTCCCCCAGGGAGCATAATCTGCTGCCAAGATTTCTGTTGATATAAACAAAAGCATCCCCGGATGAGCAAGGCGGCGTGGGGCCATGGGGCTGCAGGCTGCTGGGGCTGGCACTGCCCCTGCAGGTCAGGCTCCTAGAGGACGTCCACATCAGCCAGCAGGCCCAGGGGCCACCTGTACCACCCTGGTTCTCTTCGAAGGAATTGCCTAGGATCTGGATGCGGCTCAGCAGAGCCAGCTGGTCACTTGGCGTGGAGGGGTGAAGGGTTTGCCCTTCCCTGCCCACCTTCTGCTGCTCACATTGCTTCTGTTTGGGGGCTGGGAAGGTGGCTCAGTGGTAGAGTGCTTGCCTTGCATGCCTGAGGCCCTGGGTTCGATTCCTCAGCACCACATAAGCAAAAGAAAAAAGAAAAAAGCTGGAAGTGGTGCTGTGGCTCAAGTGGTAGAGCGCTCGCCTTGAGCTGAACAGCCGAGGGACAGTGCCTACGCTCAGAGTTCAGGCCCCACGACCAGCCAAAAAACAAAAACAAAAAAACATTGCTTCTGTTTGCCCTTGTGTGTTTGGGGGACATTGCCAGCTGCCAGGGTGCCTGCTCAGAGCTGCTGCTGATTCCAGGGTGGGTTTTCCCCTTCCCTTCCTCTCCTTGCCCTTCATTTCCTCTGGGTGTCTGCCTCTCTAAGACTGGGGACCTCTTGAGAACAGGGAGCATGTCTGGCTTATCTGGGTCCTCAGTTTGAATCTCAATATCAAGCCCAGATCTGTTCACCTCCAAAAGTGTGTGTGTGTGTGTGTGTGTGTGTGTGTGTGTGTGTTTAAGCTGTGTGACCTTGAACAGATATCTTGCCCTCTCTAAGCCTTGGTTTTTCTTATTTGTCAAGTGCAGTTGATGATAGTAATCTACTAGTGGGTTTGTGGTAAGAATGAAGTGAGATAAGAAGGCACAAGACTGGCCTTTGCAAGATGATCCATAAATAAGAAAAGGATCCTGTGACATAGGCAACACGTCACTCTTTAGGCCAGATACTGGGTGTGTAGCAATGATCAAGTCAGATATGGCCTGGCTCTCAGACCCTGACACAAACTCATGCATTCAGTTAACACATTGAACTCAGTCAATGTAAGTATCTCAGAGAAGTGCTGGGGCCAGGAGTTTGATGGGCGGAGGTCTGGTGCTGAACTGGGGAAAGCTTCCTAGAGGAGGAGGATGGACACTTAAGGCTGAGTGGGGGTTGGTTGGCTGAAGAGATGGAAGAAGAGTAGTTACGGAGCTGCTGCCTGCAGAGCCTGGGTCAGGACCAAGGCCCAGGGTCTAGAGGAATGAGGCCGAGGGGACACATCAGGGAGCAATAGCATCAGGTTGGCCTACTGCTGTGTGGGGCAGGGGGAGCTATGGCTGGGTTGCTGCGTGAGGCCTAGGACATGGGATGCTTGGGCCAGGTGGCACCAGAGGGGATGGAGTAGAGGAGGGTTTCAGAGGAATGCAGAGGCTGGGGGGTTCAGTAGCAGAGTGCTTGCCTGCCATGCACAAGACTCTCGGTTCTATCGCCACTAACACACACACACACACACACACACACACACACACACACACACACACACACACACACACCAGAAGAAGAAGAAGACAATGCACAAAGCTGGGCATGTTGCTTCATGATTTTAATCCTAGCTACTCAAGTAGAGGTAAGAGGATCACAAAGACCCTAGTTCAAAAACAAAAATACAAAACAAATAGGGTTAGGGGCATTTGAACAGACTTTGCATGCAAGAGGTCCTGGGTTCAATCTCAGTATTGCAAAAAAAAAAGAATTGGAAGGAGATGATGATGATGATGATGATGATGGTGATGATGATGATGATGATGATGATGGTGGTGGTGATGATAATGATGCAGGAGCCAGCACCTCTGCTTGAATGGAGAAAGGGAAATTGAGGCCAGCATGGTTTCCAGCTTCCTGCTAGGGCTGGCTTGGGTGGGCCTGGATAATCATGAAGCTGGAGAGGGAGACACAGGAAGGAAGGAAGGAAGCCCATAGGACCTCAGAGTGACATACTCAAAATGGCCTATGGGAGTCTCTAATCCCTGTGCCCTTGGGCACCTGGAGCCCAGCAGGGTTCACTGGGTCCCACCTGGTGTGTGTCACAGGTGTCTGCATGCCTTCCTGTCTGTCCCCTCCAGCCACACTGGCTACCCTTACCATGTCTCCGCTTCCCCCATGCAGGTCATCCCTGACTGGAAGGAGCAGGAGTGGGACCCCGAGAAGCCAGACGCCTACGCCGGCATCTTTCACTTCCATTTCTGGCGCTTTGGGGAGTGGGTGGATGTGGTCATCGATGACCGGTTGCCCACGGTCAACAACCAGCTCATCTACTGCCACTCCAACTCCCGCAACGAGTTCTGGTGTGCTCTGGTGGAGAAGGCCTATGCCAAGTAGGTGTGGCTGCTAGTGGGCTCTGGGTATTAGTCAGAGCTCCAGGCACGGAGAGGGAAGGAGCTGGTGGAGGCGCACAGCACTCTGAGCCCAGGACCCAGGGTGTGGCCATCTATGCCGGGCTGGGTGGGGTGGAGCCTGGATCTCTTGAGGGGAAGAGTGAGTCCTCCCTCCAAGAGAGAAAACTGGGCTCAGACAGGGGTCCTGTGGTCATGGGGCAGGGCTTACCTTCATATTCACGGCCATGCATCTTTCCTCCACGTACAGACTGCCAAGCCTTCCTTGGAGTCTATTCTGGGGATGTGGTACCTGAGGTCCTGCCCACAGGTCTCCCCCTTTCCCCTCCAGCCATCTGTCTTCCTTGCTGATTGTACACCCATTCCACCGCTGCTGACTCCTCCTCCTCCTCCTCCTCCTCCTGTGACCAGGCCCTGGATCCCTAGTATCCACTAAGTGACTGGCTAGGGAGAGCAGAGGTTTGCTGAGCTATGGCATGGGCTATGGTAGGAAAGCCAGCCAGCTCTGTGGCGACCTCTTCCCAGCTTCCTCTGAGGCCCATTTGTGCCTTGGAGAATGTGTGTGCCTGAGACAGAGGAGAGAGGGAAAGGAGGAGGGGGAAGAGAAGAAAGGAAAATCATTTAGTTTTGAACTCTGGATCTAGGTAGGCGCTGACTCTCAGCTCTTCAGCTCAAGGCGAGTGCTCTACCACTTGAGCTACAGTGCCATTTCCAGTTTTCTGGTGGTTTATTGGAGATAAGTCTCACAGCCTTTTCTGCTCTGGCTGGCTTTGAACTGTGATCCTCAGATCTCAGCCTCCTGAGTAGCTAGGATTGCAGGCTTGAGCTACCAGTGCCAGGCAAAACATATTTTTAATCCTCAGGGGGAAAAAAAGTAACAAAGTCTGCCTCCTGCTGGTCACTGCCCACCACCCTTGGTACAGTGGCTCTTTTCTTTGAGGGAGGAGGGACTCTGGCCTTGCTTGGTGTTTGGTTGGGTTTTTGTCTGTTTTGTTTTGTTTATGTTGTTCACTTTTGGCTTGGATTTTGAAGTGCTGGGAATCAAACCCAGGCAAGTGATCTACTGTTGAGTTATATCCTTAAGTTAAGCTGTCGATGTTATTATTGTTCTTTTTTGTGTTGGTTTTGTTTCATTTTCATGATCCTGGGTTTTGAACTTCAGGGGTCTTATGCTTGCTGGTCAGGCATTCTACCTCTGAGCCATACTTCCAGCCGTTTTTGCTTTTGTTACTTTTCAAATAAGATTTTGTGTATATGCATGAGTCAGACTGGACCTCCGTCTATCTATTTGTTTTCCATGCTGCTGAGCTGACAGACATGGATGTCTGTCATGTGCAGCTCTTGATTGAGTGGGCTCTCATGTTTATGCCAAGGCTGGCTTTAATCCTCTTGATCTCTGTCTCTCTAGTAACTAGGATCGTAAGTTTCATACACCAGCACTTGGCTTCTTACTGGTTTTTTTTAGTTTTATTGTGATAATATATGCATAGCACAGTACAATGTGTAGGCCTGAAACTCAGTGGCATGTAATTATCACCCACAATTCCAGTTATCATCACCACTATCTCCACTCCAAACCTCTTCATCCCCAACAGAGAATTTTTTTTCTCCATTAAGTAGTTCCTCCTCTTTCCCTCCTCCAAGACCCTGGAATCCTACACTATCTGAACCTCTGTTTACTTTCTTTTACTTAGCATGGTATTTTCAAGAATTCCAGACATGTTGCAGCTTATATCATAATTTCCTCGGTGTGTGTACGCGTGCGTGTGCACATGCGCATGTGCAGGCATGTGTGTGTGTGTGCATGCATGCACGCACGCATGCATGTGCATTGGTACCAGGGTTTGAACTCAGAGTCTAATGCTCTACCACTTGAGCCACATCTCCAGTCAGACATTTTGCAGGTTCATTGGAGATATTTTCTCACAGACTTGTCTGACCAGGCTGGCTTCAAACATCAATCCTCAAGATCTCAGCATCCTGAGTAGCTGGGAATACAGGCACGAACCACTGGCATCCAGCTTCCCTTCTCTTTATGGCTCCATATTATTCTCTTGCATGTTTATGTGACATCATATCTGTTTATTAGTGGATGGGCTCTCAGACTCTTATGTGTGTGCTGCCATGAGTATGAGTGCAAATTCTGTATTCAGAGAATTGCTGCCCCTGTTTTGGGTTTTGCTTACCTCCTTGAAGAACTGCCAGCTGTGTTCTACACTGGCTGCCCCATTTTTTTTTTCTTTATTTGGTCGGTCGTGGGGCTTGAACTCTGGGCTTGGGCACTGCCCCTGCGCTCTTCAGCCCAAGGCAAGCGCTCTACTGCTTGAGCCACAGCGCCACTTCCGGTTTTCTAGTGGTTTTTGGAGATAAGAGTCTCACGGACTTTCCTGCCCCAGCTGGCTTTGAACTGTGATCCTCAGATCTCAGCCTCCTGAGTAGCTAGGATGACAGGCGTGAGCCACCGGCGCCAGGCGGCTGCCCCATTTTTATGCTTATTTGCTTTATAAACTATACAGTGAATGCATGCATTTATAGAAAACCCAGAAAGTATAGAAAGAATTGCACAAATATCAGCCCCCTCCGACCCCCTTTCCTGTTTTGGGCAACCTGAGTTCATGAACCCCTGCCCCTGTGGGCTCCAGGCCCTGCCCCCTCAGTCTCCAGCCCCCTACTTCACGCTCTGCACCCCTCTCTGCCCTCATCAATAACAACTTAAAATTTTAAACATAGCTGGACTCTTAGGAGAGGAACACAGAGGTGCAAGGCCTATGTGCCTCTGATTATATAAAATAATATTTATCAAAATGAACTCCAATGGAAACAAGAAGGTTTTTTCTTTGTTGCTGTTTTTGCTTTCTTTTCTTTTTGTCTTATTTGTCTATCTGTCTTTGGGTGGGCAAGGGGGGGCCACAGAAATGGAGGGACAAAGGTTGAGCAAATGTAGCAGTGGTACTCACTAGATACTATGTTGAAAATGAACTATACGGGGCTGGGAAGGTGGCTCAGTGGTAGAGCGCTTGCCTTGCATGCATAAGGCCCTGGGTTCAATTCCTCAGCGCCACATAAGCAAAAAGAAAAAAGCCGGAAGTGGCACTGTGGCTCAAGTGGTAGAGCGCTAGCCTTGAGCTGAAGAGCTGAGGGACAGCACCCAGGCCGAGTTCAGGCCCCACGACCGGACCCAAAAAAAAAAATTAAAAAAAAAATGAACTATACAACTTGTGGGTGGGGGTAGGAGGATAAAACTGGAAGAAAACAGAAGAAAACAAAGGGAGGGGTGCCTTAGTCAAAAAGAAATGCACTCATAGCTGAGTGCTGGTGACCAAGCCCCTCTTGCTGGACATTTAGGTTATTTTTGATATTATATCCTTATAAATCATATTACTTATCCAGAATTGGTCTGTCAAAAGATACATGAAGCTGGGCACCGGTGGCTCACGCCTGTAATCCTAGCTACTCAGGAGACTGAGATCTGAGGATCGTGGTTCAAAGCCAGCCTGGGCAGGAAAGACCATGAGACTCTCATCTCCAATAAACCACCAGAAAACTGGAAGTGGCGCTGTGGCTCAAGTGGTAGAGAGCTCGCCTTGAGCTGAAGAGCTGAGGGACAGCGCCCAGGCCCAGAGTTCAAGCCCCACGACTGAAAAAAAAAAAAAAAAAGATACATGAGATTTTAGTGCTCTTGGAAAACACCAGTAGGTGTTTTGGACAGCTAATTTGTAAAGAAAGATCCACCAAGGCTTAGGGACAAATCGTCCTGAAAGTTGAGACCTGGGTTCTATCGCATCGTGGCAGTGCTGGGGCCTGCTGTGTGACCTTCCCAATTTGCTTGACCTCTCTAAGTTTCAAAAATCTCCCCTAGAAGGTAAAGGATCGAGATGGGTCAGGGAACATGAATGGGAGATTTTTTTTTCCACATTGCTTCCCAGGCTGGCGGGCTGTTACCAGGCCCTGGATGGAGGCAACACGGCAGATGCGCTGGTGGACTTCACAGGGGGTGTTTCTGAGCCCATCGACCTGACTGAAGGGGACTTTGCCCACGACGAGGCCAAACGGAGCCAGCTGTTTGAGCGTGTGTTGAAGGTGCACAGCCGGGGAGGCCTCATCAGCGCCTCTATCAAGGTGAGAATTCAGCCCCGAGTGCAGAGAGCTGGCCGTGAGGCCCTGGCCAGAGCCCGGGCCCTGGGCGGCTCATCAAACAGACCCTCAGCCCCTGGGGGATGGAAGCCAGTGCTGGGGATCAGGCCTAGACCCTGCCCTCCCTCCTCACGGGGCGGTGCCCCCCCCCCCTTCAGACCCTCTTGGTCGGCAGGAAGGTGGGAAGGTGGGAGGCGTTGGACCCAGCGCTGGGTTCTCAGGAGGGTCATCTGACTGCATGCATTGCTCGGGTGTCAGATGAGAAAACTGGGCTCAGCGAAGGCGCGATTTGAACCCAGACTCACCTGCTCCCTGCTAAACAGGCTCTCTAGAAACAGAAAAGCCCTCGTTGGTAGCAATTGTTGATTTGGGTGGTATAAATACTCCTACGTCCACCGCCAAGTTCCAGCTACCCGTGGTTTAACCGCCAGTACTTAGCAATCAGCTGAGACAGGGCAGGTGGGCTCCAGCACACTGTCCATTCCTGGGATTTGCCAAGGCAGCCCAGCGCTTCCCCTGCACAGCCCACAGGCTGCCAGTGAGAGACTGCAGCTCCAGGGCCTCCCTGCCGGGGGCGTCGGGCCCCCTGCCTAGATCTAGTGCTAAGTCTCATCCGGGTTCCAGTGTTGCCCCCACCTCTGCGCATCTGTGTCCTCCTGCAGGCCGTGACAGCGGCTGACATGGAAGCCCGCCTGGCGTGCGGCCTGGTGAAGGGCCATGCGTATGCCGTCACCGATGTGCGGAAGGTGCGCCTGGGCCATGGCCTCCTGGCCTTCTTCAAATCTGAAAAGCTGGACATGATCCGGCTGCGGAATCCCTGGGGCGAGCGGGAGTGGAACGGACCCTGGAGTGACACGTAAGGCCCAGGGAAGAGGGCGTCGGCATACGGGTTTAGACAAGCATAGGTGGGCTTCCTGGAATAGGTGGCACCCGGGGCTAGAAGAATCAGAGGAAAAGAAACTTCTGAGATTGTGTGGGAATTTGCCCGGAGGTGTGAGGAGCTGACCCGTGGGGAACAGTTGGTGAGACACTTTTGCGGAGAGTGGGTGGGGGAGACAGAGGGGGGCCAGCAGCCCTGTGAGTGGGCTGCTGCTTTGTGCAAGGGAGCCCCCTCCCTTGGGGTTTCCGGCCCCTCGTCCTAGATCTACAGCCTTGCTTCTAAACCTCCTTGTGGTAACACGGGGACAGCCTCAGGTCCCTGTGGGAGGGGACAGGCAGGCTTGACCCAGGGTGCCCCTAAGTCCCCTGCATCGAGGTTGGCCTGGTGCTGAGCCATCCCTTGGGGACGGTCCTCCTCTTACACTGCTTTTGCCCTTCCCCCGGCCCTTGCACCCACCCCACAGCTCAGAGGAGTGGCAGAAAGTGAGCAAGAGTGAGCGGGAGAAGATGGGCGTGACCGTGCAGGATGACGGCGAGTTCTGGTAAGTTTGGTGTTGGGGCTGAGGGGCACCTCTGGGCCTTGAGGAGTCAGCAGTGGGACTGCAGCCCAGCCCTGTCAGCAGTTCACTGTGCGTCCCTGGATGTCATCTTCTGCAAGATGAGCGGCCCAGGAGAATCCTTTGATCACCCGAGGGTGCTGCTCTGGCACTCAGGTTGAAGCCTTGAAAAGTGGGCTGCAGATATGGGGTGCACTGGCAAATGGAGTGCAGAGAATAGGTGGAGGTGCAGAGACAGCACACCTGTCATAGCGTGGGAGGAGGGAGTTCAGGGGAGACAGGAGGTAGGGCTGCGTTGGGAAGACGAAGCATCCTGCATCCATCCACCTGTGTCCACTTACCTGAATCCATTCACCATGTGTATTCTCATCTGTCCTTTCCCTGCATTCTATTCTGTCACCATGTCAGGCTCATGTGGAGACATAGCCACTTCCTTGGCAAGGATGGGGTGAATGCCATGAGGAACACTCCCCCCCCCAGGCAGACCAATGACAATGAGCCTTGGCACGCTGGCTGTGACCCCTCTGTAGTGCCAACTGAGCATCTGCACACACCCCAACCCTGGCTGCAGCTCTAGATGAGACCCACTGCCCAGTCTAGCTCAAGGCAATTGAATGAAGGCAGCCAAAGCTTCCTTCATGGGAAGGGCTGCCTCTCCCGTCCCTGCTGACACACTCACACTCTACGCAGCTCCCTTACCCCTGGCAGGCTCCCGGAAGTGGGCATAGCTGTGGTGACCCCAGAAAATGCTGGCTGCTACCACATACTGCCCACCACGCTTTACCTAGGCCTCCCAGAGGTTCAGCAGGAGGTAATGGACAAAGACAGGCTTGATAAGCCACAGAGGGCTACTCACTAATGTTTTGGGGTTTTGTTTTTTTGTGGATCAAACCTAGGACCTTGAGGCTGGGAATGTGGCTTAGTGGTAGAGTGCTTGCTTAGCATTCATAAAGCCCTGGGTTTGATTCCTCAGTACCATGTAAACAGAAAAGGCCGAAGTGGTGGTTCAAGTGGTAGAGTGCCAGCCTTGACCAAAAGAAGCTCAGGGATAGTGTTTAGGCCCTGAGTTCAAGCCTCAGGACTAGAGGAAAAAAAAAAAACAAAAAACAAACCCTAGGACCTTTCACCTGTTAAGCCGTCTCTGTACTGAGCTACAGCTTCAGCTCTACATTAGTGATTTGTGCCATACTAGTGCTTGAACTCAGACCTAGGCACTGACCCTTAGCTTTTATGCTAAAGGCTAGTACTATACCACGTGAGCCACAGCTTCATGTCTGGTTTTTCTTGTGGTTAATTGGAGATAAGAGTCTCATGGAATCTACTGCTCAGGCTGTCTTTGAACCTTGATCCTCAGATCTCAGCCTCCTGAGTAGCTAGGATTACAGACATGAGCCACCAGTGGCCATGATTAATATCACTGTCCCTTAGAGTGAACTCAGAACCTAGGCACCGAGCCTTAGCTTTAAAGGCTAGCACTTTACCACTTGAGCTACAGCTCCATTTCCAGCTTTTTGCTGGGCAATTGGAGATACATTTCATAGACTTTCCTACCAAGGCTGGTCTCAAAACATGATCTCAGATCTCAGCCTCCTCAGTAGCTAGGATTATACACATGAGCCACTGGTGCGCAGCTTTGTCCCCATTTGGCCGATGAGAAAACTGAGGCCCAAAGTGAGCTTGCTCCCACATGAAGACGTTCAGGGAACATAGTGTGTCAGGTGTGTGGGGTGGGGACAGGCGCCTGCTCAGGCCCTCTTCATGCCCAGGATGACTTTCGAGGACTTGTGTCGGTACTTCACGGACATCATCAAGTGTCGACTGATCAACACATCATATCTGAGCATCCACAAGACATGGGAGGAGGCCCGGCTGCGTGGTGCCTGGACGCGACACGAAGATCCACGGCAGAACCGCAGTGGGGGCTGCATCAACCACAAAGACACCTTCTTCCAGAACCCACAGGTGGGCAGTCTTGGGGCCTGCTGCCTTGCTGGGGGGCTCCTGAGTGGAGACATCCCTGGGCCTCAGTGTGTCTCTACAATGGGGGTAGGTGGGCATGTCGGCTGTATCCAGAGGTCATGAAGCCCCGGCCTCCCATCTGATGTGAAATGGTGGTTCTCTTTGAACCTTGAGCCTCAGATCCAAGCCTCCTGAGTAATGAGGATTACAAGCAAGAGCCAGGGGCTCTTGGCTCTAATTTGCATTTATGGAGCGCCAACTTGTGGGCTAGGCACCTCAGTGAGTTCTCCAACCTTCCAGCAGGGGGCAGTGTAGATAGCAGCAGGCCCATCTAACAGAGGAGATATCATTGACCTGGCCTAAGCTCATGCTGTCTGGAGTGTGGGTTCCCCTGTGCCCTACTCTGCATGGTCTCACTGCAGTGTCTCTTTCCTTGGCCACACCTGCAGTATATCTTTGAGGTCAAGAAGCCAGAGGATGAAGTGTTGATCTGCATCCAGCAGCGGCCCAAGCGCTCCACCCGCCGGGAGGGCAAGGGCGAGAACCTGGCCATTGGCTTCGATATCTACAAGGTGAGGCCCTGCTGTGGGCACAGGGGGTGAGGGAGCTGGAGTTTGGGCTGCCTGTGTTTGGGAGAACACTCTACAACACTCGGGTCAAGCCATCCAGGTCACAGAGGCTGACATGATGGGAATGCATTGGGGAGGACCATGTTGTGGCAGGGAACTCTCAGCCTGATCCCTTTCTGAGGAGACCCATAGGCCCGGATGTCTGATGAGGAAGAGGAGGACTGTGGATAGTTGGGCTATGCTCTGGGAGGTCCTGGGTATTGGATGGGCCCTCACTGCCCGGGGTTCAGACTCTGTCATCAACCTGTGTTGGAGGTCTTGCAAGCAACCTCCAGGATCGTCATTGAAAGAGCTAGGCAGTCTCTCACCAGCCACGCCCCTTGACCTCGAAACTGAGGCCTTCCACACGAGGTACGTGAGGTGGCAGTTAGCATAGTAGGAGCCCATGTGCGTGTCAGATCGCAAGGACTTGAAACCACATGGATGGGTTCAGTCATGTCAAAGCAGCTGTGCTGGCTCCATGCTGCTGTGCTGATATGGCGATGGCATCGTATGCAGTATGTCCTGATGATGTAATTCGTACGTTTGTGCTATGAATCAGGCGGATCATGATAGGAGCTTATCCTTGGGGAATTTGTTTCCAGACCCTCAGCAGATGCCTGGAACTGCATCCAAAATGGCTACTCATGCCTTCACAGCATGGGTATGCAGGATGGAGGCCTTCAGAGATGGGAAAAGATTCCGTCACATTGTTCAGAACCAGTCCAAGATTGAACATTGATGAATTGTTTATTCCTTGACTCTTTTTTTTTTCTGTATTGGGGTTTAAATTCAGGGCCTCATGCTTGCTCAGCTTATTTCTCACCTAGTATTCTAGCACTTGAACACACCTCCAGCCTGTGGAGTTTTTCATCTAATATTTTCAGAGTATAGCTAACTGTAGGTAACTGAAACTCGTCATGGGATGGGGGGGGACTACTGTTCCCATTTTTGTTGTGATAGAAACCTCAGGGGTATTGTTGGCTATTCCTAACTTAACTCCACATTATCATTATTATTACTGTTATTATTACTAGTATTTTGTGCTGGTGCTAGGCTTGAACTTAGGTTTTTTTGGTTAAGGATGGTGTTCTACCACACCCCCACTTCTGACTTTTTTTGCTGATTGATTGGATAAAGAGTAGTTGCTCAAATTTGTCTGCCCAGGTTGGCTTTGAACTAGGATCCTCAGATCTCAGCCTCCTGGGTAGCTAGGATTACGGCTGTGAGCCAGTAACACTGCTCTACCCACCCCACTTTTAGTTGATAGGTAATTCCCAGACCACTGAATTCACTCATTTAAAGCATACAATAGCCAGGCACAAGTAACTCATGCCTATAATCCTAGCTACTCAGGAAGCTGAGATCTGAAGATTGAGGTTTGAAGCCAGCCTGGGGCAGGAAAGTCGAAAGTCCATGAGACTCTTATCTCCAATTAGCCACCAAAAAAGCTGGAAGTAGGCTAGTGCTCTGCCACTTGAGCTACAACGCCACTTCCGGCTTTTTTCTTTTTGCTTATGTGGTGCTGAGGAATCGAACCCAGGGCCTCAAGTATGCAAGGCAAGCGCTCTACCACTGAGCCACCTTCCCAGCCCCTCACCACCAATTTTAGAACACTTTTATCATCCCCCATAGAATCCCTGCTATCTTCAGCCATTATCACCCAATCCTGCCCATCCTCCTGAGCAAGCACTATTCCACCTCTGCCTAGAGATCTGCCAATTCTGGACATTTCATATAGATTCCACCATACTTTTTGGTGGCAGGGAGAATGGGGGGAGGTGCTGAGGTGCTGTGGGATGGGTTTCCGAGTGACCCAATTCCTCCCATCTCCCCACAGGTGGAAGAGAACCGCCAGTACCGCATGCACAGCCTGCAGCACAAGGCCGCCAGCTCCATCTATATCAACTCCCGCAGCGTCTTCCTGCGCACGGAGCAGCCCGAGGGCCGCTACGTCATCATCCCCACCACCTTTGAGCCGGGTCACACGGGAGAGTTCCTGCTCCGAGTCTTCACCGACGTGCCCTCGAACTGCCGGTGTGTGGGGTGGGGGCTGCATTGGGCCAGGGCAGATGGGGGAGATGTGGATCCATCCATCCATGCTGGATACAGTGTCTGCCCAAGACATGGAGCCTAGACACCCATTCCTGGGCTGGTCCCCCTGCCCATCCTCTTTCTCTCCAGCCCTGGCCTGCCCCCGCCTCTCTTGAGCTTTGCTAGGAGCAGTGACTCACATGTGCACGACGCTTAGGTCTCCCGCGAGTATTTTGCTCTCCTCACTTGGTCTGCCTGCATCCCAAGTCCCAGACTGACACTGCATTTTCCAGAAGCTAATAGGGATCCAGGTTAGAAAAGTATTATGGGTCATCCAGGCCCTTCACCTGCCTGATGGCAGGGCCCCTGCCACCACTATCTCCCATGGAAACTGGCTCTTGGGACCAGGGAACTGCTAAACATCCCGCTCCCTGCTGGGTTCAGACCCTTTGTGGCCCTCCCTCATCTTGGCATGCAGCCTAGACCTGGTGTCTGCAGCACAGGTGGACCCTGCCCATGTCCCAGGCCCAGGAAGCAGCTGTGCTGTGCATTCAAGTTCCCTCAAGTTCTCTGGCTCCTGCCAGCCCCTATTCACTGCTTTCCAGCTGCCTTGGCAGGGAGCCTGATGCTCGCTAATCTGTAATAATGGACAGGTTACAGCTACCTGTTGTCAGGTGTAGTAGTGCATACCTGTAATTCTAGTTACTCTGGAAGATTGAGGTTTGAAGCCTGAGCAAGTTAGCAAGATCCCATTTCAACCAACAAGTCACACCTGTGATCCCAGCTGCTTGGGAGGTCTTGGTAGGAGGATCAAGGTCCAAGGCCACTCCAGGCAAAAAATTGAGATCCTACCTGAAAAATAACAGAAGCCAAAAAAAAAAAAAAGCCACAAAAACCAGCTGGAAGCATGGCCCAGTAGTAGAGCAAAACCCTAAGTTAAAACCCCTGCATTTCCAAAAACGGAATAGTCAACCTGTCCCCCAGAACTTTGTATTGTAAATAGCTCGGGTAATGCCCTGCAAAGAGTGTGATCTGCAGCAGGTGTGCAAAGACATGCTTTTTCCCAAAGGAGGCTAGGCAGGGTACTGTAGGGGTAGAGAGAAGACAGGTGGGCCCAGGGAGCCCGTGGGGTTGCATGAATGGAGTCTACCCAAGAGGACTGGCCCAGGACTGAACACTGCTCCTCTCTACCCCCATCTCCCTTTCCTCACCTCTGTCTTCCTGATACTGCTCTGATCCCACTCTGCCCTCTGCCAGGGAACTGCGCCTTGATGAACCCCCTCGAACCTGCTGGAGCTCCCTGTGTGGCTACCCCCAGCAAGTGACCCAAGTTCATGTCCTGGGGGCTGCTGGCCTCAAGGACTCCCCAACAGGTGAGCTTCCCCAGGGAAAGCCCTTTGGCTCTCCTGGTGGCTATCCCAGCCCCCTCTCTTGTGTAGTTGGTGAATTAGCAAACTTCTCATAGCCTGCAGAGAGGGGTAGTGCCCTGTTGATCCTAGGGAGCTTCCCTGTGGTGGGGAAGTCAGAGACTGGGACGTGTAGGCTCCGAGGACTGAAGCAAGGCTTCGGGAAGGGAGGGCTTCCTCTGGGCTGAGAAGTTATGAAAGTATGAAGCCCGGGGAGGGTCAGCTAAGATAGCTCTCACCTGTGATTTCAGGTACTCAGGAGGTAGAGATCGGGAAGATCTTAGACCCAGTCTCAACCAACAAGCTAGGCGTGGTGGTATATGCCTGTGATCCTAGTTTTGCGGGAGGCTTAGATAGGAGGATCACAGTCCAGGATGGCCCCCAGAAAGAAATGCAAGATCCTATCAGAAAAGCAACAAAAGCAAAAAGGGGCAAGAGGCACAACTCAAGTGGTAGAGCATCTACTTGGCAAGCACAAAACCCTGAGGTCAAACCCCAGTACTGCAAAGGAAAAAAAAAAAGATGTGGCTGAATGATATGATACATGAGGCCCTGGGTTTGATCCCCAGCACTCCTCAAAAAAGATAAAGGAGCTAGGCGCCAGTGGCTCGCGCCTATAATCCTAGTTACTCAGGAGGCTGAGATCTGAGGATCGTGGTTCAAAGCCAGTCCGGGCAGGAAAGTGTGTAAGCCTCTTATCCGCAATTAACCACCAGAAAACTGGAAGTGGTGCTGTGGCTCAAGTGGTAGAGCTCTAGCCTTGAGCCGAAGAGCTCAGGTTTGGCCCCCAGGCCCAGATTTCAAGCCCCATGACTGATAAAAAGATAAAGGGAGTAGTGCCCTGAGGTGGGTAAGACCTGTGGGTAGAGATTACCTGTATGTCCCTGCCATCTGTGGAAGTGCGCACGCGCTTGTATGTATGTGGGGGGGGGGCGGGGTTCAGGCTCCAATATCCCCTGCTAATGAATTGCTGAACCCAGGCAAGTGTCTCTTCCCACATACTTGTCTTGTCCTGACCCTATTCTAGCCCCGTGCTCACCCCAGCTCTCCCCCCCCCATCTCCGTAGGAGCCAATTCTTACGTGATCATCAAGTGTGAGGGTGACAAAGTCCGCTCAGCTGTGCAGAAAGGGACCTCAACACCTGAGTATAACGTGAAAGGCATTTTTTACCGGAAGAAACCAGGCCAGCCCATCACCATCCAGGTGAGCCTGCCACCTGCCACCCTCTCCCCTCCCACTCAGAGGTGCAGAAGCTGCAAACAAGGACCCAGAGGTGCCAAGGTCTGGCTCTCCACGTATCCCTGACTTCCAGTGTGGTCTTGGAATCCTCTCATCTGCCCTTCTGACACTCCAGTTGTACCCTCTGAAGGTGGATGAGTTAGATTAGCTAGTGTGGTTCTGAGACCCAGCAAGGTCAGTTTGCTGGCTGGGGACTGTGGCTATCTCTACTGATCTTGCCTAAAGCCTTGGTAGCCATTCTTCAGAGAACCTACTGAGGGATTCTGTTTGTCAATAGCTCAGTGATAGAGCATTTTCCTTGCAAGCTTATGGCCCCAAGGTCAAACCCCATTATTGAAAAACAAAGAACAACAACAACAAATCATTGCTGGGCACTAGTGGCTCAGTGTAATCCTAACTACTCAGAAGGCTGAGATCTGAAGATCCATGGCTCAAAGACAGCCTGGACAGACAAATTTTAGATTCTTATCGCCAATTAACCAGCCAGAATTAAAAAGCCAGACGTGGAGCTGTGGCTCAAGTGATATAGCACTATTCTTTAGTGAAAAAGCGAAACAAGAACTCAAGATCCTGAGTTCAAGCTCTAGTGTTGACATAAAAACAATTTAAAATAAAAAGAAAAGTGGGCCTGGGAGGACCCGTTGTATGAGTGGCTGTTAACTCGAGCCCTGAACCAAGAATCAGAAACTGAGCACCCTTGGACACAGCTTCCCTCTCTTAAGCCAAGGTAGCTGGCTGATGATTCTGAGCTGGTCACAGGAAGCTCTCTGTCCCCATGGGCCCCAGTACAGCATCTCTGGTCGAGAAACCATCTGTAAACAAACACTTCATACCCCAGGGGAGTACTGTAGATTTTTCCAAGTCTTCCTAACACTAGTTCCCACTGGATCAAACCACAGACTTCCAGATGGTGGGGCTGGTACAGATGAACCTACGGTTATATTAAAGATGGGAAACTGGGCAGGGGTTGGTCTCTTGCTTACGTTTGTCCAAGATCAGCAGCCAAACTACGGATGATAGATGATCTTTATAGGAATAAGAGGGCCTTGACTGACAGGGCGCTCCGTGATGGGCGTGTCTCCCCCATGGTGCAGACCAGCCAGGGTGCTTTCCACAGCTTGAATTGCATGATTGTAAGTGAAAGAGTTCCAGGTCCAGCTGCCACCACCAGCACCAGCCACTGATTGTGTTCTGGGAGATGGCCCCTCTCACAGTGCTCTGTCTCCTCCCAGATCTGGAACCATCGTGTGCTGAAGGATGAGTTTCTGGGCCAGGTGCAATTGAAGGCTGATCCAGATGACCTCCAGGCCCTCCACACCCTCCACCTCCGAGATCGAAGTAGCCGGCAGCCCAGTGACTTGCCAGGCACCGTGGCCGTGCACATCCTCAGTAGTGCATCCCTCACAGCTGTCTGACACCTGCTCTAGCAGCTCTCACCACCACCTTGCATGTCCCCACCAGGCCTGGGTCCAGCCTGAGAGCCAGACACTAGAGTTTTTTCCACTCTTCCACTGCCTTGCTGTGTGACCTTGGGAGATCTCTGTCCCTCTCTGAGTCCCAGTATCCTGAGGGCCTCAGAGCATTCCTTTCTTGTCAGGGCATCTTGCCTGAGATTTCAAAATAGCCCTCCCTGCCCCAGGATCGCCACTGCTACGGGAGTCTATCCGTTGAAAATGGTTCCAGGCCCTGCTGTCTGCCAAGGAGTGCCAAGAAGATGTCACTTGTTTACAAATTTCTGTGTTCCCCATGTCCCACTCCTGGCCCTTAATTCTCAGCACCCCCCCCCAGTCCCTTTTGAGTCACATTGAAAGGACTTTTCCTGGCCAGCTGTGGATTCATGCTCAGGCTGGAACTGGAGAAAGGTGCGGGTGACATTTCCTTCTCTTGTCCTCCCTATCCATTTAGTCACTCAGGGGAGATTTTCCAGGAGGGTAAGAGGTGCCTGGGAGGCCCCAGATGAAGCAGAACCCCCTCCCTGGCATCCACCTCCACTCTGTCCTTGGGTCTTCTCAGAGACCGATACCCAGCCAAGCAACAGACATCTTCTCACTGCTACTTTCCAGCCCCTGCCTGGTCTGAAACCCCTGGAGATGGGGTGGCTGAGGTGATGTGGGAAGGATGGGGCCCAATCAGTGGGTTGTGGCTGTGGGGACACAGGGACAGGCTCTTGCTCCTTTGTTGTAAGCCCCCAGATTTTCCTGAGAGAAGAGACTCGAGCAGGTGGTGCCAGGCCAGACCCACGAAGGCAGATCACCTGTTCGGTGACCCAGCCAGAGTTCTTCTGTGAATGTTCCCCCAACCAGCCTCCGTGTTGTCTTGAGGCCTGGGCCAGAACATTCCTTCTTAGCCATCTCTTTTATGTCCTTTTTGTGTTTTCAACTCATTTTTAACCAGGGGAAACCGAGCTCTCTTTTTCTTCTTGAACTCTGATTTTTTGAGGGTCCTCTGGTTTTACTTTGGCTCCACCTGGGGAGAGAGATGGGTGAGGGCAAACCTTCTGAGAGGAGGGTGAAGAGTGAGCAGCTGGCACCCTGGTGTGTGCAAGCTGGTGCTGCCAGGCTCCTGTGGAGCTGTTAGTGCTGCAGTGTGCCATGCTTAGGTTCCTAGAGCAGGGCGGGGGTATGGGGGGGTGGGATGTTGCAGAATGGCGATTTGTTGGGGGAACCCAACATCTGACCCCAGAGCCCAATGTGGGGTTTGGGATCCTGGTGGAGGTGCTAGATTCTGACTTCTTTGCCTTGCTCACCACTGGCTGTGCATTAAGAGGGGCAAGGCAGTAAAAAGACAAGGGCCAGAGATTCCTTCTCAAAAGCTGAGGTTTCCAGTGGGTGGTATGGGCCTGGGACTGTGCACATGACCAGGAGCTAGTCACTTAAACCTCCTGTGCCTCGACTTCTCCCTCTGCTAAGTGAGGCCCATGACTCCTGTGTATTAGCCCCTCACTTGGAAAGGGAGGGAGGGAAGATAACACCCCTTTCTTTGTGGACCTCGTCACCCTCATGTAATCACCATTGTCAATAGCTGTGGCACATTCAGACTTCTGAGTCAGGGCTGGAGAGGTGAGCCTCAGGCAGCTTCACCAGTGGAATTCTGCTCGGCCATATCCCCCTGGGATGCAGGGACAGACCTGAACCAAGGGGTACACTGGTGTAGGCTTCCCCTGGGGGCTGGGCACTGCCTCCTACTCCCAGCATAATTGGTATGGCAGCCCTGCCTCCTGCTCCTTCAAGTAGGCCAGGCTGGCTCCTGGCTGTGCGGGAACCTCTGTCCCCAGGAAGTTCTGGTGACCATGCAGAAGAGGATGGGTCAAAGGGGGAATAGTTGCTTTGTTCACCTTTTGCACCCAGGAGGTCTTACTGTCCCCATTTGCTGATAAGTGTGGCCTGCAGCCATGCCACCCTGCGCTTACCCTCCTCCAGGGGTCACCACAGAATAGAGAAGAGAAGGCCTGTCCTGATTTCAGAATAAATGTAACTGCAATTCTGGAAAAACCTTCCTGTGTCTGTCTATCCTCTGTGGGGAAGAACAATGGAGGATTGAGAAGACTTGGGAATCACAGCTCAGGCTGTGACCAGGAACATCCTTCAGTCATTCAATTTGTTTTTGTTACAGTACTGGGGTTTGAATTCAGAGCCTTGTGCTTTGCAAGACTGGCACTCTACTACTAGAGCCACGCCCCCAGCCAGTCATTCCCTCCCTGGA